CTCTCCCACAAACAGCACGTGCCCCAAGCTCCGGCTGCTGCAGCGGCTGCTGCCGTTTATTGGCCGTGTTTATGCCGCGTGCTGTCAACGCTGTAAACCAAACTGAGACGTCGCTGTCAACAGCATCCCCTTTGTTATAGTCGCTTATTGAATTTGCGCTGTTTTGCGATCTAAAAACAAAAGGAAGTCGTGCCACAGTTTAGGTCCTAGTCAAGCAATGGACAGCTTTATAAAGTAAGCAAATCTGATAGCTTTATAAACAGCGACGATATAGATTATTGTTTCGATATATACGAAAGCCCATCACTAATATTTAATTGAAAGAAAAAAAGAATGTATGAAAAGTTAATATATGAAACTAGAAAGCATCGTTTTTGATTCTTGTTAAATTATCTTCGCTTTATGACTTCAGCTGTGAATTTGAATTAAATGGGTAGCACTTTAACTACAGTGCTGCTCCATCAAATGTATATATATCAAGGTATTTTAGTTACAGTGTTGCCACATCAATGTCGTAGTACTTTCACTACAGTGCTGCCACAGAAATATTTTTATAATATATATATTCATACACTAGCAAATCTTATCAACAATATATAACCACAATATCGTAGCACGTTATTTACAGTGCTACCACATCAGTTTCATAGCATAGCAAACTTCTTTTTATATATGTACAAGTGTTGCCCCACTTTAATATAGCCTATGGTTATATCAGAGTTTATTTGTGGTCAATTTTTTAAAAGCAGCAGCAGCTTATGAGCAATAATTTAAGAATTTCATTATTTTGATTTATTTATTCTTTCACATCATAAATATCAATGTTTTATAATTATTTATTTATATTTCGCTGAGGCGCTTTATTTTTGCTTAAAGTTAATTATTTTATAGTGGCTGGGCATGAAAAATGTGCTCTTTGACTTAAAATCTATGCCAGCAAGCAGAGTTTAACGAGATCGTCGAGATATATCTAGATATATAAAGTAGCTAAATGAAAGGAGAATGGCCTGCTTTATGATTGCGCTATTTGCATTCTCATTTACATATAGATCTGCATTTGCATTTCCTTCTCTCAATTTTTTTTTTGTTCTTAAATAGAAACGCAATTGCGCACCTGGCGGTGCATAATTACCGCTATAAAGAGAAACCGCATAGTGGTACTTGTAAGTGGGCCATAAAACAAACTTTTTACACACAAAAGTTTTGTAGGCCCGCAGAATTAATGTGCATACGGCACGCACCAAGTGTGTGTGGAAGGATTACCTGAACGGGCATGTGTCTTAAGCAGGCAGGGGCATGCCAGCTGGTAGGAGGTTGGGGCAAAGGTGTTGCTGCATTGCGCCAAAGTTTAATGAAAATTTGATTAATTTGATTAATTGGCCGGGTCTCATTAATCATAAATAACATGCAGCATATTATTGGTGGCATCGAGCCGATGCCCAAAGGAGACACACACACACATACATACACACACATTGAGACCCTAGTCTAATCCAAGAATATCGCCCGCCTCGCACACGGCTTGACAAATGGCATTTTTGGTGGCACGACGTGCCGCTGAGCTTGGGCTAAATATTTTCGTAATTACATTTCCACGTAGAGTAATTAATTTTGTCTCGCTTTGGTTTAGACCCCGTCTCGAACCTCGCCACGCCTCGTGGCGCTGCCGTTGACATTTGCCATTATGTGTTGCATGCTTTTGTGCGCTTTTTGCTGTCGTTAAATGTCACAAAACGTTGGCTTCGCATTCGGATTAGTTGCAGCCACCACGCCCGCATTATTATTATTATTATTATTATTATGTTTTATTATTTGATGAGCGCTTTAATAGGCATAACAAGCAGCAAGCACAATTTTCATATAATTCTCTTAAGCTAAATCTGTTGTCCAAACCCATCCCCAGCAGCTGCCCCTTGGGGACGCCCACACGTAGAGGCGCAACCATAAAAACCTTTTGCTGGCTACTTAAGTCGTTTGCCAGGTAGCCCAAAAATTGTGGCATAAATTATGCAAGAGGCTGGCCATAAAAACGAGTCCATGGCCTGTCAAATGTCAACGTGGCGTATGTGTAATTAAGCTCAATTTTTAAGATGGGCAGCAGGAGGCCACAACTTGCACAACAATTTAATTTAAAATTAAAATTTAAGTTTTGCCCTTTTACTTACAAGTATTTCCAAGTTTTGTAATGCAACTAATTTTGCGGTCGACGAGTTGTCCTAGACTAAAGAAACTTGTGGTCGCATATTTAAGATTCTCGTTTCGGGGAGCAAGCTCTATTTGAAAAAACTTCCCTTTAAGCTAAAAGGCAGCTAGCCTTAAGTATATACATAATATTTAAAATATTAATTTGAACCCGTGCCCTGTTTTTTCTTGGTGCAAGGCTTACCAAATTTGAAACTAATGGCGAGGTATTGGTTCGAATTGCGGTTTGAACCAGCAAAAATCGTTGTGAGGCTTGAAAAATACACAGTGTATTTAAATCTATTGCTTTCTTAGCTGCGCTCTGTTTTAATATTATATACACTCCTAATTGGCCAAAGATTAAATGCAAAATATACATTCTAAGAGCCGCTGGCTATTAAATACAATTTTTACCTGTAATTTTGTATATTTTTAATAAAGCGTGTTATTTGTGTCTATACATATATATTTTTTTTTTTTGCTGTGGCTGCCCCAGAGACGCAGACGCTGTTGTCACATGTGCGACAACATAATTTGTTGTTAATGTACTCGGGACTCGTAACTGGCATTCGTCCAGCAGCTGACACACACACACAGACACACATGTACGCACACACACATGTACGTATTTGGATGGTGGCTGACATTTTTAAAGTCCAGGCGACACATAATTAACCCAATTAGAATGTGTGTGTGTCAACGCTAAGCTAAATTTATGTGAATTTTTAATTATGTCGGAGCAACAAGACGACTGCATCCTTCGCTGGCCATTTGGCTGGCTCGTCGGCCTGTTGGCGACCGCAAACCAAACAAACAACAAAGCACCAGGCACAACCAGAGGACAACATGAACAACGAGGACAACCAGAACAAACGAGCTGAACCTGCAACCGGTCGCTGGGTTAAATGAAAAACGTAGTAAACTGTGCGCAAAACACCTGAGGATTCACCATGGCGACCAGGCGACCAACAATGAGTGGCCAAGTGGCGGCTGCTGCTCCGCCAGCTGCTTGGATGCTTGTTTCGGTTTCGGTTTGGGGTCTGGGGTGCTTTGGGCCTGGCCTGGGTTGTTATAGTCAAGCAGCTTTGCCATTTCCGGGCGTGCCTTTTGTTTGCTCGTTTACCTTTTCCATTGTTGTTGCTGTTGCTCCCACTGCTGCTGCTACTGCTGCTGCTACTGCTACTGCTACTGCTGTTGGTTTAACTGCACTGTGACTTTTTGTGTGCTGTGTGTGCTGCAACCGCAAATAGAAAGCAAAGCCTGCTGCAGTGAGTGGAGTTGTGGCAAAAGTTTTAAGCAAAATGTTGCCAAGTGTTTAACATTTTCTATGGTGTCAGTTGCTTCCTCTTCCTGTGTGCGTGTGTATCTGTGTGTGTGTGTGTGTGTGTGTGTGTGCACCTGAGGGACCTTAACACTTACACACACACAGACACCTGCATATAAACTTGCCCGGTAGGCTAAGCGTGCGGATAAATGTAAATTAAACAATGTTCAGGGGGCACAGCCACAGGATGGACTCGGCTGTGCTGGCAGTCAGATGGCACACGTTTTAACTGGCGTTGATTTTTGACACACCCAAGTGGCCAAAAAAAAATGGGTCCCTAGGTGTGTGAGTGTCTGTGTGTGAGGTAACAACTAAAACGAGGGCAGCTTACATTACTTTTTTAAAGTAGCTTTTCAGATTTACCCTGAGTTCTATAGATTAATTAGTAGCTATGCAGCAGGATTTCAGTTTAGCTGAGCTTTAAGTGACTTTTCAGACTTAGCTGTGAGCTTTCACCTTTATTGAGCTTTACGTAGCTTTTCATTAAGTTTCCAAAGTTTTATATTTTCAAACAAAGGCTTTACAGCAAGCTTATCGATTTGTTGAGCTTTCAGCTTACACTGTTAATCAGCTGGCTCGAATCATTTATTTTCTTTTACACTGATCTAATATAAAATTGGTTTCGACTTTGAACCAGCAACCATCCCATTTCTCCATAAGGTTTGTGGCAACCCTCGACTGTGTGCATAGTGTGTGGTGGCAACTTTAAAAATGTATGCCACCCCGTTCAATTTGAGTTGGTGAGCATATTTTAGGGCGTTGATTTTGATTGCCAGTTGTTGTCTGTTCATTTATGGAATTTGATTAAAAGCTCACACATGTGCTCAGCTTTGGGGAGTGTGTCCTGGTGACCAGGCCGGGCCAGAGTGTCCTGTGTCCAGTTTAAAGCTAATGTTGAGGATGCTTGCATGTGCAAGCCAAATTAAAAGCCGTCCAAGCAGACAACGATGTACAAATTTATGAGGCTATTTTTTTCCCCTTTTTGGCGTGTAGCAAAAGTCAAAGGACAGACCCAGCATTTTCATGGGTGCTCCAACGGCGAAATAAACACGAACAGACAAATTCCAGGCTCAAGTTTTTTTTTACATTTTTTTTTCTCTTTGGTTCAAGGATAATCATTCAACATCGCGTGCTGCTGAAATTCAAGGAGTGTGTATGTGATTTTTATCATGCAAACAGCCGGAAAATGACCGACCCACGCCCCCTACACCCCGCCCACTAGCTAGTTGACACGAAGAAAAAACGTGCTAAATGAGTAAGGTAAATGAAATTACCTGACCGAACACACCTCAAAAGTGGACACACACACGCACACACACACACACACACATACAGAGTGTGTCCAGTTGTGCGTGTGTTTTTTTTATTTCCGTTTCCCTTTGACAGCGTTGCGTGTGTGTATGTGTGTGTGTGTGTGCAAAGTTGTATTAAAGAGCGGAAATTACAAATTTGTCCGGCGCTAATGGATTTCCATTTCAATTTGCACTGCTTTGGCTACAGTTTTTCAAATGTTCCCCTTTATTTCATTTTTCGCTCTCGCGCCAAACACATTTTAAAGTGCTGAAAATTCGCACGTCACGTTGATTAGCTGCAAAATTTATGCGGCCTCAAAAAAATGTGGCGAAAATTAAATTTTTGGCATTTCTTGTTGTCCTCGCCGTCGTCGTCCTTGCCACAAAACGCTAACGACTACAAAATTGCAAGAAAATTACCCGTTAATGTCCAACATTTATGGCCCGACTCGAAGACGTTGCACCGAAAGCCAGAAGTGCAGGCGACCATGTCTGGGCTCCATGGGCGCCGCCAGCCAAATAATCGCGGCTGCAAACTATATATTTACATATATATATATATAGGGGCATAACTGGCAAAACTATTATGGCCCTTGTGCTTATTACTTGCTGACATGCAAACACTTGCGCTCTCGCTCTGGCAAACTAAGCCCATCTCACTTTAATAGCTGTCTGCGCTGATGCCAAGGACAAGGACATTCTGGGCAGGGCAAATGGCGCCGACTTTAACTCGCGTGGGTGTCTCTCTCTCTCTCTGTCTCTCTCTGTCTCTCTTGAGCTGCCATTAAATATTTAAGATATTTTGGCATTTAATTTCGAGCACACAATAAATAATAACATGACACATATCAAACGTAATTTATAAGCACACAAATCGAAAAAGTAAATAAAATTGCTTTTCAACAAAACTCTTAGCGAACCTGACACACATGTCGAACAGTCATTAATAATGTAGCTGGATGCCACATTTATGTGGCATTGCAGCCGCAATACAATAGAAATCGACAGGCCAAAAAAAATCGGAGTGTGGGTTGAACTCGGTGCCCAAGTGGAATGTCAAACGTGCCGCTTGCCACTGTCAAAGTAAATTTATGCACCCATGCCCCAAACGCTCGAACTGGGAAATGCGGCATGCCGTGGCAAACTAAAAGTATTTTCTATTTACCCCAGTCTTGAGCAAACCCCTGCTGTGGTTGTGCCATGAAATTTGCTGCCTGACTTTTGTTGTGTCTGCAACTAATTTCAATATCATCAAAAATTAATTTCACTAATTCGATTAGCGGCATTTTCTCCAATACATATTAAAGCTGCACCACTTGCTGGGTGCGTGGTGCGTGTTGCCTCGCATTCATTAATTTAAGTCAGCTCCCAAACTTGACTTGGTCCACAGCTCAACGGCTACGATGTGGCAATGGCGTGTGTGCTGGCTCGTAATGCCGTTAATATATGGACATTAGCTCAATAATAGTTGGTAGGCCCATTTTGGCCAAAAAGCTAATTGCTGAAATGCTGCCACTTAAGTGACTCTCTGCTCAAGTCAACTTAAGTTATCAGAATATGACCTTCAGATTCAATTTGTTTGAATAACCTTTGATTTTACACTGTCAAGAAGTTATTTAAATAAATATAAAGTAGTATATAATATGAAAAATGGTTCCATTTAACTGGTTCGGTTCACAATTGGAACCTAAGACTTTTCTTAACGCCTTTGTTTTTTTCCTTTCTTCTCAATTTTAAATAGGTCTAAATTCTAATTTTGGATTAACCCAGATTTTTTGTAGCCTTGATATAAATACTACAACAGCAGTCCTGAAATAAATGCCCCAGTAAAATTTATTTAAAAATTATTTTGTAGCCTTTTAACATTTCCTGCTGGAAACTGATGTCATCTGTGAGCAAATCCGCAATCAAATTGCGAAGCCTTTGTCATCGTCGTGGCCCGAAATGATGCATTTAATTAGGTCTCAGAAATAAACTCCATCTGAGAAAAGGCAGACCTTAATAGCGAATTACACACAACATTTGTGAAACATTTGCGTTTTCATTTTAAAAAACATGTTCATGCAAATTAAATCCCAGGTAAAAGACGTGCGCGTTTCCTGTATGCAATGGGTACGCTTCTTCTTCATCTTTCTGGGGGGGGGGCTTTTTTTTCATATATTTAATTTGGCTTTATGGGCGCTGCCGCACCTTATTTCATTTTGAACAAACAAAGAGCTGGCAAATAAAAAAAAAATGCTGCTGCTTTGCTCATGTGTGAAAAGGCAGTTCAGGCCAAAGCTGAATGGTAAAAAGCCAAAAAGGAAGCCAAACATATTTACATCAAGCGCTCAAAGTCACGAAGTGGGCCAGAACGCTGGGCAGGGGGGAGAGAGCGCTAAAGGTGGAGGAGGAGTTGGTTGAGAAGGGGGGGAGGGTGTCTTGCCAAGCCCCCCCCCCCCCTCGTCAGTAGAGTGCCAGCTAAAGGCAAACGTGCGCTTGGCTTTCACTAATTGTCTTTGCTGTGCGTGCGTGCGCGCTGTAAGGGTGTGTGTGTGTGGGGTGTGTGAGTGGTGTGGTGTGGGTGTGTGTGAGGGGTGCGTGTGCCTGGCTTGAGGTGGTTGCATATATTTTACGGCTGTTTAGCCTCGCGTATGCGGCAGTCGCCTTTTATGAGCCTCTAAATGGCAGCCCTCTTCCAGCGTATTTTTCGCAAAATTTACTTGCAAAATTCCAAATGAAATGTAAATTCTTGAGTTCCCTTTTTAATGCATCTTTCTTTTTTCTTAACTTTTTTTTCGGATATTATTGCTGCACACCTGGGCAATTATGCGATCTATATATAGAGCATTACATTCTCAATATTCACTTAATGATCAAAAATACATTTTAATAAAGGCAAACACTAGCGTTTCGCAATGTCAGACACTTCCGTTCGCTTGACTAGGCAAAAGTTCTCATTTATATATATATATATATTACATACAGACTGAACATTAAATATAGACCAGTTATCATGTCTATATAGGACAAGTATATTTACGCCTGCACTTACCGCATGTCAATCAAAAATCTCCAACTGTGACGCACACTGCGGGATGTCGGTTGGTTTGTTTGTTTGTCATTCGCCTGGCAAATTCCCGGTGCCAATTAAAAGTCGCTTGCAGAATTGTCATGCGGGGCTAGCCGTTAGGCAAAGGCATTCAGATGACAATGGCGCAGTGGTAATAAGGCAACGCCAGCTAAGCAAAACGACAGGACACAAGTCATTCACTCGCAGTCGCAGCGTGTGCTCCTTGCATGTCCTGCCAAAGTAAATTAATTGCAGACCTTTGCCAGGGACCTGTTCCCATTTTCATGTGCCTGACTTTCTGCCTCGTGTAAATTAACATTATCATCAACAAGCAACAGCAATAAGAATGAGTGCCCCCGCCCGTGCCCCTGCCCGTGCTCATGTCCGTGTTCGTACACTAAACTTGCCTAGATTAATCGACCTGATTAACCGCACGCAGACCCCATGCAGAAGACGTCGTCCGTCGCAGTCCCAAGCACCGAAACACCCAAAAGTCGCATCCGGCTTGCCTATTCATTATGCAATTATTTTGAATGACTCTCGTAAGTGATATTTCCGAGGCATTTCGATGTGTATATTTCATGCGCTCTTGCTATACGGAATGCATTTCATTTCTGCCAGAAACTTTTGGGCATTTGTCTAAATGTCAAATGAGGTTTATGCTGAGCTGCTGAAGCTTGTGATTAACTACGTAATTGATTGTTTATCAATAACGCAGAGGAATTACACCAATTATGCCATATAGAACAAAGTCTCTTTAGCTTCAATTGTATTTTCCATCTATTTCGATTATTTCTATTTCAAAATTCAGTTACATTTTAGAGCTTTACAAGCTACGCTGTTATTAGGCGCCATTAACTACGATTGGCCTATCGATCTTGTCTTATCGATATATCGCATGATCCAAGTGCTGTGTTGTGCCGATACATGTAGTTGCGATACGATAAGTGTTGGACAGCACAGCTCAAAATCAGCTGATTCTCAATAAAATTGCTGACCGCGTGTGTTTCGGGATTAGTTGTGCAAAATGTTATCTTGTCTATTAGTCATTTACCCATATATGGTTAATAATTATATTTTGTGTGCGCGTATCGGTCATCATATTACTTAGTAATATCCATGCACCTTATAGTTGCAGCAGAGTTGTAGAAGCTATTACCTGCACCCGTAAGCCCCATAAAATATGGCAGCACATCAGTTAAATATATTGGATTTAAATGATTATTGTCTTGGCCGCATACTTAAGTATCTGGAAATCGAAGATCATGTTAATTTTGGACAAGCCTGCACACGTTTTCGGGAGGCCTTAAGAGACTGGTCCTACGTACTCTATCCAGTGTTTGAGATCAAACGAAGTGAAGATATCAAATTGCAATTAAAACTTTTCTTCGTTGTTTGTGATGTCGTTAAAAAACTGTTTCTGGATATTGGGGAAAGCTCATTACAAGGCGGCTTTCCTGTCGATCAATTCTGCAATCATGTCCAGAGCATGGACAGCTTGGAATGCTTTATCATCAACGAAGGAAGCGGTCTGGGGCGAATGTTTAAAACAGCGAATCCTGTGCGTGACCGAATAATAGAGAAAACATTTAAGGCCCTGGAGCATTTGCCGAAATTGAAGAGCATTAGTGTAACGTGTGGAGCCAACAGGTGAGAATTTCCCTCCAAATTATTTGCTTAGTCATTTTTTAATATTTGTTATTTATTTTTAGTTACGACGCGAGCTGCTTGATTCAGATGAAATGCCTGCAAGAGCTTTCATTAAATACAAAAATAGCTGCAGAAGATCTTGTTGAGATATGCAAATCGAATGCAAATCTGCGTGTTTTATGGTTACGAGAGGTTCTCGGAGAGCTAAACGATATTGTGCCGCATTGCCAGAATCTGGAAGAAATTGTTTTTCCAATGTTCAGCAGTCACACAACATATGCTGGACTTGCGGAGCTGCCGAACATAAAGAAAATAGTCATAAAATCCACAAATTCAACGTCGCCTTGCGCCAAACTTATTGAGCTCTTCAGCGCATTTGCAACTCAACGGCAAATAACCCAATTACAGAGCTTGATATTGCTCTCAAGTTTGAACTTTGAAGAGACCACCAAACTAATCGAATTGAAATTCTTAAAAGAACTGCGCTGTTCATTCGAAGATGCAAGCTGCATTGATCTATTGACCGATCTAACTGAACTGGAAGGTCTTTACATTATGCTGGGTCGCTCTGGAGCTGGCTCCAAGGAATGCTTAAATGTGCTCAAATCTTGCAAAAAACTGCAGCGTCTGCACATAAATTCTAATCTGTCGACAGACTTTGTAGATAAGGCGCTGGCAGTATTGCGAAAGGTTCGAAATACCGAGAAGCAAAAGCCATTACAATTGTATTCCACAGGTGTTATGCATCTGTGCGAGGAAGGAGAGGTGAGACTATTGGCAAAACTACTGACAAACAATTATTTATTACCTTCAATTTTAGGAGAAACTGGTTGACAATGCATACTGTTCTATAGTGAATCACTCAGAGTATCTACGTCCACTGCCCTGGAGACTATCAATTTAATCATGGAATAGATAAGGACTGCTCAATGCCAAATATGGCAGTGCTTTATCTATGTCAATAAAAACACGGGAAACATATTTATATTACTTTAACAAGCAGATTAAGGAAAATGTTCGCGTATTGCTGAGAAACACAGCAGTTGTAACAGAACTGTAGGAGCTATAAGAAGCTGTAAGACTATAAGACGTATAATATGGAATCGAAACTGTTGAATATAATGGATTTAAATGACTATTGCCTTGGTCGCATACTTAAATATCTGGACATTGAAGATCTTGTT